TCCTTCAGATTGTTGACTACTATAGACTAACACAGCTGTCTTCCTGCAGCATAGAAGAAACAAGGTTGTGAAATTTTCTGCATCTCTCTCTCTTACACACACACACACACACACACACACACACACACGCAGTAAGTATTGAGGGACAAAAAAGAACAAACCAACTTCCTAGTTTGTTCAGCAGCTGCTCCTGGTAAAGGCAGCAAATGAGAGATAACAGACACCCAATAAGCCTGAGAACTGGGTTTCTGGGACATACTGGGAAGGGAGTTTAAATCCGCCTGACCTGAAGAACTCCCAATTGCACTTGAACACGCAGCTCCATTCTAGATTCTATTTCAATATTTACAACATTTGAGATATTTTAGGATCTTTTCTGAACAAGATAATTTTGGGGAAATCTGCAAGTGCCTTCTCAAGAGCTGTATAGATGCATCGTGGCTACAGTGGTGCTGACTCTGGTGTTAGGACCTGGAATCATGCATTGGACCTAAGTGGTGGGAGATTCAGATCAGATAAAAAAGTTGCTTTGGCACACGTATTTCTGCTTGATTTAGCATGCCGGTGGTCACCAATCTGCACACCTTGAATCTCCTTGTAAAGCTTTATGGACGGGATAGTCTTAATGGCTATTGCTTCAGTATTAGAGACAATGTGTTCCTGTCTGAACTCTGGGCTTCTTTGGCTGAATTAGAGGGGAGGACCAGGGGTGTCTGCAGAGTGCGGTTAAAAAAACCAAGACTGTGACACACACAAAAACAGGTGGAGCTACAACTGCATCGTTGTGGCCACCAACTTGACTTTTTTGACCACACCCTGCAGACCCTGGGGAAGACTCTTCTTAGTTTTGTAAAGAATACAAAACAACACAAATTGAAATGTACTTCAGGCCATGGAAACTCAATTGTTTGGGATATAATAATGGTACTGTAGTTACTTTTATTGTAAAAATAGAAGTCCAATTTTTCTAACCATTGACATTTATTTGAAAACCTGAAAGCAATGAAAGCCAAAAACTTAGAAAGAAAGCAAAACAAAAACATAGTGTTTCAATTTTTTTCACTGTTCATTACAGTATTTTATTTGAAGAAATAACATTTTGAGCTAATACTTTCCATCTTTTCATTTGCAACAGAGGAGGAAGGGGTAGGGGAGGAAAGGGGAGGAAAGGAGAAGGGAGGAGAGGGGAGGAAAGGGGAGGAAAGGAGAAGGGAGG